AGGAGTTATAAAGGTTTTTCGCAGACATGCCTATCTTTGTCCGGACGCGGTCGAAAACCTGAAAAAGTGTTGAGACATAAATAATCGAGTGTGCTGACTATCATGACAATGTTTGTTTTGTGTTAAAATGAAAGTCGAGGTCGGTAGGAGCTTATTTACCAAAAACCGAGTTCTTGCTTATAGACCATAGAACTTCAAATTGGCGTGATTCAGTCATTTTACATTCAAACTGTCTCGAATTTTCAGGAAATACTCTAACCACGTTATTGAAACGGATTGAATCGTCGAAAGTTACAAACTTCGAGTTTTACATGTTGAGGTTCTCTAGGAGGCTTCTAGAAAATCCCGGGGTTCAAAGCTTTATTAATTAAACTTTCTACGATTCAATCCGTCCGGACAAAGATAGGCATGTCTGCGAAAAACCTTTATAACTCCTGAACCACGAGAGACAGCGAGCTGGGACTAGTCTAGACTTGTAGAACTTGAGTTAGGCGATCTTTTCGATGTCTAGGAATTCAAAATCCAAAAATGTTTTAGTGGCTGGAAAACTCTTACAAAATGTCCACGCAAGGTACATCACCTGAAAGTACTCGAAAAAACGTTTTCTCTTATTTTCTTTTTGCTCCAAGATTTTAGTTTCAGATAACGAAAACCCCAGCTCTCCAGCATCTTCCAGTGCAAAGTTATTAGACATACAGTGACTGGCCTTCTTTTTTGAAATGGATAGTAGTTCTTCATTCTATTTGAAATAGATCATACATATTGTCACCTGTTATTATTTGGCAGATTTTAGTTGTTGACTATAGAGATGCCGCCCAGAACAGGACCAAGAAAGAAAAAAGGATCAAAAAAGAAGAAAACAATAGATAAAATATTAGAATTACCACCTAGAATTACCGAAGATCAAAAAGAATTTTATTTAGAACAAATTAATAGTTTAGAACTCAGAATTACTCGGTAAGTTTGTCTAATTAGCATTATCATAACTAATGTAAAAAATAATAATCGGGCCTAATAACTTTTTTATATGGTTCATATTAGTAATCTATTTATTATACAGAAGACAGAATTACCAACAAAACGGACAAAAGCGAAAATGACAAAAATTAAAATAGCAACTTGACATGAAATGATCCATATATTCTGCGATCCTTAGTGACGTCCGTTTCCGCTAAAATACGAGCAAACAACGGTATAATAGCGATACATTATAACGACAAGATCCCATCACATACAATTGTGCAATAAACTAACAGTTCAAATTTATGAACTCTCTAAAAATATCATTTATTTTTCGCTTCTGCTTGCCAAGTTAAGCTAACATTTTGGCGAAACAAAATTTAGACTGTGCTCATTTTAGACTGAAACGGAAACAAATTAGCAGAAACTATTGCAAGATATTTCCAATATTTTGCAAAAATAATTCATCACTTTTCAAAACAGTTTTTATTTAAATTGGAGCTAGTTTACAATACAATTTCATTCAATGAAAGCTATTTATTGTTCAATATCTCATGATACAGATAATAAAATGATGCAATCAACATTAAAAGCCTATAATTTGGTGCAGCCCAAAACTATATGCTCTTATTTTAGTCAATGTGGGTTAACACAAAAGCATATGTGAAAATTATGAAATAAGACATAAAATGAGTATGAAATACTGATTTCAAATATTGTACAAACATATTGTAAACTTGCTTCAATTTAAATAAAAACTGTGTTGAAAAGTGATGAATTATTTTTGCAAAATATTATAGTCGATCTCGACCAATTGTTTTGTCAATTAAAAAGTTCGTAAACTTTTCGTTTCCTTTCTTAGGCATACCGAGAAATGTATAAGGTCATTCACCCATAATCCATTCTTTTTAACAGATACTTGTTGATTAGTAGTTTATTTCCATTAACCAATTAAATAAACTATTGAGCAATAAAAAGAACTGTCATAACAATAAAATATACAAAAAAATAATAACATTTGACAAATTTTCTAATAAAAACTAATAGATGAGCATATTTGAGAATAATAATAAAATAAACAGATCTATTTAATAAAAAATGAGCACCATAAAAATGTATATTTGAAATAAAGGTTAAAAAAAAATATCACGTAATATAGAAAAATATTGCAATCACAGCAACTTCTTATGTTTTCAATTCAATGGTGTACCTAATTCTTTGTATCCGGCTTGTTGTAAGTCTTGAATTAATTCGTTATAAACTGTTTCATCTTCAATTGTACTAGGTATGTTGAATTTTTTATTATTAATTAATGCTGCCAATGTATTACGCGCTATTTTTCCCGATCTTGTTTTTGGTAAACGTTTAACAAACACAAGTTGTCGAAATGCTGCCACTGGACCAATTTGTTTTCGTACTGAATCAATAATATTTTGTTTATTGTCCGATGATGATATTTTCGAAATAACAAAGGCAAATGGGACATGTCCTTTAGTTTGATCTTTCAGACCAACCACAGCACATTCAGTCGCATATCTACTATCTAAAATTGCCTGTTCAATACTGCCCGAACTTAAGCGATGACCAGCTACATTTATAACATCATCCATTCTTGCCGATATTTCGAGATAACCATCGCGTGTTAGGTAACCAACGTCCATTGTATTATAATAGCCAGGATATTTTTCAAAATACAATTTTTTATATAAGTCATGATCTTTCCACAATGTAGTAAAATTTCCTGGTGGTAGTGGAAGTTTAATTAATATTTGGCCTAATTCTTCTGGTTCACAAAATTTGATCTCATTCGTTTTTTCTTCTTGATGATCATCTGTTTCTGTCGTTTGAATTAATTTAACATCGTAGCCGGGACATGGACGTCCTGTGCATCCAGGTGGTGACAGATCATTTTCATTCCCTTCAATACCTAAACAAAAATGTCTAGTATGAAAACTATACATAAAGTAGAAAATCAAGACTCTTACCTAAACATGTAGCTGTAACAGCAGTTCCGGTTTCTGTCTGCCACCAATGGTCGACAATCGGCTTATTATTAAAAACTTTTCTAGCCCAAGTTATCGTTTCTTTATCACAATGTTCACCAGCTACAAATATTGAACGTAAACTTCGCATTGGATATTTTTTAGAATAGATTCCATTTTCTGCATCATCGTATTGTCTTATAACTCGTATAGCAGTAGGTGAAACGAAAGAACTAACAACGTCATGCTGATCGATCACACGAAAAAACGAACTGGCATCAGGAGTATTCACCGGTTTCCCCTCATATAATACACTAGTACTACCATTCAACAACGGACCATAACATGTGTACGAATGACCTACAACCTAATAACAAAAAAAGATATTACCCAATAAGCTAAGAAGAAAGACGAACGACAAATGTTCATAACTTGTAAATCAGTAATTATACTGCATTTACCCATCCTAAATCGGCGGCTGACCACCAGACATCATCTGGTTTAATAGCATATAAATATTTCATTGTCCATTGTAATGCTACTGCATAACCTCCTGTTGGTCTTACAATTGCTTTTGGTTTACCAGTAGTTCCACTAGTATACAATAAGTAAAGCGGATGATTGGATTCAACAGTTTCACAATGTTCATAGGGTTTTGTTGATGATATTTCATCTGTGAAATCTCTATCCCGATCTCGTTTCATTGTTGCTTTTTTCTCACCACCACTAGTTCTATTATAAATAAAACATTTTAAGTTTTGTTGATTTACACCACTAAGTTCAATCGCTTCGTCAAGAATCTCTTTATAATTAATAACACGTTGTGGTTCATAACCAACATTAGCCGATATGATCAATTTTGGTTCTGAATGACGAATTCTTGTCGCTAATTCTTTTGCACTGAATCCCCCAAATACAAGATTGTGTATAACACCCAGTCGTGCACAACTTAACATGGTCACAACTGCTTCTGGTATCATTGGCATATAAATTAATACAACGTCACCTTTTTTAATTCCATATTTCGTCATTACACCACTTAACAATTTGATTTTGTCCAATAATTGGCTATATGTTAAACGTGAGATCTGACCGGTCATTGCTGAATCATGGATAATAGCAATCCGAGAACCTCTTCCATCTAGACAATGTCGATCGACACAATTATAAGTCATATTCAAACGTCCACCATCAAACCATTTTGGATGAACTAAATCTTTTTTGTTCAATACATTCGACCATTTACCAAACCAACAGATAGATGAAGCTTCATTTGACCAAAATTCTTCAGGAGAATCGATACTTGAACGAAATATTTGATTATAATTAGGATTTAACTTTGGCGTGACAGAAGAAAAGTATCGTCGATTAATAAAGTTACATGTCCTTACACGGATTTGGGGAGATTTATTCATGACTTATCTAAAACAGAAAATAATCGTTACCATTTGTTAACTAAAGGTTTTCACGAACTTTTACAGAAGCCACTAAAGTTCAATAATATATTAATTTCAACTAAGGATCTTCTCCTTAAATGTCAGAAATGCTGATTTTTCATGAAAAGTCACTATTGTCATCAGTACGTGATTATAAGCTCAGAGTTAAAGATGCCAGTGCGAAAAGTAAACATTTCTGGTTAAATTGTTATATCTCATAGCTCTAGCCGGCAAAATTCCACTACAATCACTTATCCCAGTATATGTCAAAGACGATTTCTTTTTGATGATAAACAAAACCATTCGTTTTTAAAATTCATCCGAGCTCTACAAACTGTAAATGTAAAGAGAAATCAGTCATTGCAATGTTAAATGTCCGATTTTGAGCTATATCTACCAAGCGATAAAAGATACATACTCGGAAGCCTTTTATGGTATCTAGTTCATAAAGTATTATCTATTGCAAGATTGTTCATCTTCTATTTATTAGTTACCAAAAACGATGTGATGAGTTAGAGTTGATGTGTCGTGCCTATGGTGATCAATTTGAAACATTAGTAAAAGATAAGCGTGATATAGCAACCTATTTAAAAAAACAATTGGAATTAAGAAATGAACAAGTATTTGATTTAAATGATCGTCTTATTGGTTTGCAACAAACAAAAGATCATGAAAAAGAATATTGTGAACGACAACTAACAGAAATGGAACAGCGATACAATACAGAAATAGAACGACTTGAAAATGGAAATATGATGTACAGTAAGTGTGTGAGAGCGACAGTTATAATAAAGACATATCTGACTAGTGTTTTTTCCCTCCATTTAGAAACACGTCTTGCGGCATTAGAAGAATTTAAACAGCAACGAAGCATAATGGAAGATCGCATTAAAGAACTGGAAGAATTAATATCAGCGAAAGAAGAAGCATATAAAGTCTCACTGCACAGTATGGAAATAGCATTAATTGTCTTCAAAGACAGGTTCGGAGAAATAACTGTTTTTTGAGGTATTATGATTTATTAGAACGTGTTAGATAGTAAATTCATCTATCATGAATGAAATGCATCACTGTTAGTTTGGGATTGAAGAACAATTTTTGGAACATGCGATTGGATTGAAAAAAGTACAGTTTGAATCTATTACTTAGAACAGAGTTTCTCTGATGATTGAGAAGAGAACGATTGTACACACTGTCATCTCTAACTATTATAGGCTTGAATTATTGTTTGTAAGTGTCATATGGATGATTCAAACAAAATGCAGAAATGACTATATACGAGTTGCGTCTAGAGATTCATTTGACTGAGACTGAAATGCATGTTCATATGCACAAGTTATTATAAATGGGCATTTATATTATTAGAATGTTTCTCTCTCACCGTATTTCAAACATAATCATGACATTTTGATGCTAATCTATAAGGATTGACACGTTAAATGAATATTTGAAACAAAATTCAATATCAAATTTTTGTATCGAACAGGCGTCCAATGAAACAAAATGAATTTGTAGATATTCATCTACATAGAGGAACGAACCTAGATGTCTGAATCAAATTCACGCACTGCTCATTGAATTGAATGTACTAATAGTTCATCGAATCAACAAAGGCATGACAATTGTACTTCAACATTTTTTTTGCAAATTTATAGGTGTTACTGTGGGAAAAGTTTTGCTCATCACTCTACTGTACTGTTCTTTTTCAAACATAAAAGAACTTCGTTGTCTGAAAGATTCAAACTTTGTTTACCTTTTTAATCTTATTCGATGCTCTATGAATGAGATTTGATAACCATCTTCTGAAAGTTTAGATTAAAAAAAGAAGCAATTCAGTATCTGAATGATTTAGCCATGCAATTTCGTCTTAGTACAAAAAGTCAAATATCGGATACAATTAAACGTGCTGTACGCGAAAATGTTTATCTTAACGCACAACTAGAAAAACTATCATCTCAGTTAGAAAAAAGTATCGAAAGTAGTGGAAAACACCGAGAAGAAGTAAGTGAAATACTTCTGTATTCATGATAACAATATTCTTTTAGAGTGAGAAGTCTAAGTGTAAGCCGAAGAAAATTATGTGCAAAGATGATCTAGTAGACCTATTTTTAAATTATGGATTTATTAGAGTTAAAATATTAGAAAAACTGGATTTTTCGATGAGAAATAGTTAAAAGAAGACGACTTTTCACATAAATTGTCTGTGATGAAGAATTATTAAATAGTCAATTAAATTGAATCTATAAAAAAATGGTCTAAAAAATACTATCTATTCCTGCTAGTACAGTTGTGCTTGCTACCTATCCTTATTCTATTTTATTTTTCAAAAACTAAAACAACATCACTGTAAATTTTGACGTCACCGAAGTGGTTGATCATACTATCCACTTTTCTGACTGGGCAGTTGAAAAAGTGAAAATTTTCAATCTTTCGGACAGAGAAAACTTGTTAATCCTTATTTCAATACCTTCTTCACGTAACAATGCGTTAGGGATTCTAAGTCGCTTTGCTATCTAAACAATTATTGGGCACAAACGGGTTAAATGAGACTTATGCACTTACATTAACATTTAGTACACTGACTTAACGTGAGATTTTCATGCTTTCCTTCTTTGCTCAACATCGATTCTAAAAGTTTGCAAAAATGTTGAATTTTTTTCACATGTTTCGAAAAGTAGTTGTGTACTGCCATTTTTTCTTTATTTTAGAAAGACGAATTAATTCGAACTGTACAAGTACTGGAAGAAGTTGAAGCCAAATCAGCTAAAAAATATGTCGCTTCGGAACATGTGAGTATCATAATCCATACTACGTCTATAACTTGCCTTAAAAAAGGATCGTCAAGCTTATTTTTTTAATGAAAAGACACTCATCGGTTTCTCTCCAATGGCGAAATCTGCATACCTCTATCTCGTTTCTATCAAGAGTAACAAAAAAACATATCCACAATCATTATATTTCGAAATTTCGTTCAATGAGAAGAAAAATACTTGCACTATAATGATCATTTCCTGTGCAAAATTCAGTTCATGACTCGTTGCTGTATGCGTTTGTTTTAGCCAAATTCTCTATAAACTAGCTCTACAGCATGACTGACGAGAGAATCTCCCCAAATGTTTTCTCGTTTTTTTAACGAAATGTAGCAGGTTGTAGGTAATCGACCATGCTGATTTCGAATATGATATTCATTTGGGCTCAAAGGTCTTTCCTAGCTGGTTTTTCTCGACCTCGTAAAATCCCCAAAACTTTTTCTAAATAAGTCACGATTGTAGCCCGCGAAAGTCTAGTCAAAATGAGACATCTACCAGCTCTACACGACCTTTCTTTGCAAAGTTATAGAGTTTACAAGAGAATCCCTAAATTCATTTTTTTTCTTTTTCTTTCTGTGGCTCTGAAGTGACAATGAACATTTAGGGCCCTTTCTGTAAACTCTATAACTTTGCAAAGAAAGGTCGTGTAGAGCTGGTAGATGTTTCATTTTAATCAGAATTTCGCGGGCTACAATCCTGACTTATTTAGGAAAAGTTTTAGAGACTTTACGAGGTTTCTGGAAAACTGGTTTTTCAGAAACCAGCTAGGAGAGGCCTATGAGCCCAAATGAATATCATATTCGAAATCAGCATGGTCGATTACCTACAACCTAGTACATTTCGTTAAAAAAACGAGGAGACATTTGAGGAAGTTCCCTCCCGAATGATTTGTGAATAGTTTCTGAGCATATCGTTCTACTTTAGATAATAAAAATACTTTGTAATAAACTACAACAGTGTGAAGAAGAATTGAAAGAATTCCATCAACAAGGCAAATATGACAGAGAACAAAAGGATACTAGAAAACCAAATTGTACGATGATGGGACGAAGTAAAACATGTGAAGAAAGTGAAACAAAAACCTTAAGCTTAACATCAACGCAAGTAGAATCGTAAGAATTGTTCTAATTACTTAATTGGTACATATATTTAAAGAAGACTTTCATTGTTTAGTTCCGAACTAATATTTCACAAAATAATTAACGAAACAGTTTTAGTCACAAACAGTGAATATGGCTTAGATGTGAATCGAGATGAAACAGATGAACATTTTCAAAATCTTAAAGAACAAAATCATTTGTTGAAAACTGTTATTGATAATGCAGCTAAAGCCATTGCATCTGTCATACAAGTATATATTTTTAGTAATAAGAGACTGACAGAAAAGAACATCTTTCTTCTTTTAGTCATCTAGTGAAAAATATGACACATGTAAAATTTCAATTCGAGATAATTTGTTAGAACATCTCTTATCAATTTTGATCACAGCACATCGTCTCGGTGAACCACGTTTGACATTTCAAGCATCGACATCAATAACCGTCACAAAAGAAGAACAAGAAGGAAAAAAATATAATAAAGGATTGTTTCCAGCCACACGATTTGGACTTACTAAAATGTATAATTATTTATGATTAGTTTTTTAGGTAATAATAAAGAATAATACGGTATTTTCTAGATTACGTGATCAAGATAAACCATTAGTAAAAGGGCATTATTGTCGGGGAGATTTGGGTATTGTACCACGTGATCAAAATTTAGTGATGACAAATGTAGAAAAAATGAAGCGATACCGAATTATTAAACAACCACAAGAACAAAAATTGATGTCTGGAATGATCGAGAAAAGACCCGAGACTAATCCGGTAATTGAAAATTCTCACCTTTATTATTTTAATTCTTCTGCTTTTAGTATATTAATAGTACGTTGGCAAAATATTTTACTCCAAAATCATCCGATAAAATACCATTACATTTACGATTAGCGGAAAACATTCTTGGACCACGGGTAACTACTGAAACAATAACTGATCAAATTAAATTGCCGACAATCGATTCAATTGTACCATCAAAACGAAAAAGTGAATTACTTAAAGTTATAAAACGACGATATTCATTTTTAGGTGGGAAAACGTCGTGTTCTTTTCAAAAACCACCAGTACGTTTAAATACGATATTACATATGTCTTAGAACACTGTAAAAAGTACGTCAGCCTATTTTAATCAATAAATTAATGTTTTGTTATATCCAAAAAGTTACTTTCTGCAATTATTACAATTAATTATTTCGCACACTATCAAATTTTTCATTGCTAAAATCTTTGTTTACTTCGTCATCAGTGAAAATAGTGTTCACTATTGAAGGAGAGACTGACTTTCTATGACAAAACAACAGTTATAATCTATCAGAACATTCATTTGATACAAAAAATTCATTTTTTTTTGCTCATGATTATAGATTTACATTCGTGTATTTTTCTTTTCTTTTTGAACAGCTGTCCAAGTCAAATAGAAGAGTAAATGTAGTTTTGGTCACCAAAAAAAGATACTTTTGATCACCAAATTTTTCAGCATCTCACATTTTTATTTCTCAACAAACTATAATGTACAACACAAACATATTCATTGAGATTTTAACCAAATGAACAATAAAGCTGTGCTAACTTTCTTGAGACGCCCTTTTGCTTTTCGTTTCACCTAACGGTTGATATACGTGTTCTATCGCTAACTTGATACAAGTTAAATAAAATTGCTAATCCACCAGATTGTTTACACGAATATACTAATAATAGTACAACAAACTAACAGGATTGTTGCCACATCAGAAAACTATTGAATATATCATTGGCTAGGTATTTATCATTCTCGTCGGTGGCTTAAATTCAATGGTTTTCTGGTATGGCAACAATCCTGTTGGTTTGTTGTACCATTATTAGTATATTCGTGTAAACAATCTGGTGGATTAGCAATTTTATTTAACTTGTATCAAGTTAACGATAGAACACGTATATCACCCGTTAGGTGGAACGAAAAGCAAAAGGGCGTCTCAAGAAAGTGAGCACAGCTTTATTGTTTATTTGATTAAAATCTCAATGAATATGTTTGTGTTGTACATTATAGTTTGTTGAGAAATAAAAATGTGAGATGCTGAAAAATTTGGTGATCAAAAAAATTGATACCCCAAATAGTATGACAAATATGAAAAAAGAAAATTGAAGAGTTTAGAAAGATAATAAATACCAAAAAGTTTATTTGATAGAATATTCTCAAATATATGTCTTCAAAAAGAGCCGTTCAGAGATACGTTATAAGAGAAAAAACCTTGTCACAGCAGTCCCTTATGAGGCTAAAATGGCGAAACTCTTCAAAAGTTGTTGAATAGTTTAAGACAATGTGACTACCAGTTTAACACGTTGTGACCAACGGAGGGGCAGTTAAAAAAATGGCCAGAATCAAGGGTTTTCGAGTATAAACTTCAGCTCCACTTTCTTTCGAAGATATAGGAGGAGTTTCACAATATATTTTTGATGATCATCGACGATGTTTTCTAACACAGCATTATCCGACTCAAATACTTCTCATATTAAGAACGAAAAGAACTTTCTGGTAATGGCTTCTGTAATAAATTGATCAAACAAAACAGTAACAATAAAATGACAATAAAATCAATTTTCTACTGCCCTTCTTGAAAAAACGTGTCAATATTTGTTTTTAACGTTAAAAAAAAGACGGAGAGTTGAAAGGAATGTTAGAGCTATGTTAAATCTTCCATTCATTACCAAATATTTCTGATGTTTTTTCGAATAAACTTATATAAAATGAGCATTTCTGAACTCTTAAGGTTTCTTCATTTCGATTTTCTTCCACTTTAGAGGTCTAATCAATAAAAAAAAGAGCTTAATTCTACTAAATTCATTTTAAGCTTTACCGTAGTTACCTAGACGCAACTAACAATAATAAAAAAATTAAAAAGAATCTTAGTTTTGAAGTAATTTTTTTAGAAAGATTTTTGAAAAATCAGCCATACTCTCTCTTGTTCCCCTTTGGATAAGGATTGTACATCCATCTTAACCACGCTTTTACTAAAAAGTGTTCAAATCATCTCCTAACTGAAGATACTTCTAGAAAACTCTTTGGAATCACATCCAGAAAAAGGAAGATCACTACGCGAGGTGAGTGAAACACAGTATTTTCTGACAATTTTAAGTGATTGGATTTGATTTTAAATGAGTTATGATTTTTTGATTTTCGCATCCCTCCTTCAAATTATCTCTGAAAGACCTGATTACTAGGCTTTTAAAGGTATCAAACACTTCCTATCTTTGGTTAGATGCGGCTAAATATCTACAGCGTTTTGTAAAAATCTCAACTCTTCATCTGTTTCCTATAAAATATAGGATGAAAACAACCACAGACATTCGTTTTTTGAATACAGTTGCATTATTAGAATTTGTAGATAAATTTCAAAAAGTTCGTTAGTCATCAAACCGCTCCGAAACTATATGTTGGTCCTATATAATATTAGTCATATTTGTGTAGATATATAGATTGTAGGAACATATGACATGACGAGCGTATGGGACCACTAGGACTAGTGATGATAAAAATTTGTATGAATTGTTGTCCAATGATTCATTCTCACGAAATATTAAGTGATTTCACACGTTCGACATGTCTCACATTTCTACAATGAATTTGTTGCGAATACGAATAATGTATCTGTTTTTAAAAGGACAGTAGAAGGTTCATTTTATTGCTAAAAAAGCAATAGAAAATAGAAAATACAGTCTGTAATTCAACACATTTCAAAAAGAAATAAAGGATTATAGTTTAACTTTCTGGTTACAAATTTGGTAATTGTTCTATATTCTTAATAACATCGTCAATATTGTCTTTATTATACATAAAAAAACCTTGTATTTGCGCCGCACTTATTGGCTTGTTTAACGATTGCGTTACCTGAAGAAAATGGTCGAGTTGTACTTGCGTGGCTAGTGGATAAAATCTATGAAACATTTGTTCTAATTGATACAAAGACATATGACCGACGTATTGTTTATAATCAACACGACCCGGACGAATTAATGCTGGATCAAGTCTATAAAAACAGATAATAACACATACATTGAATGGTAAGATCATCCTTTATTCAACAGTCTTTTACCGCTCAATGTAATTTGTTGTCATGAACACAATTCGTCCTTCAGATGATATAACTCCGTCGAGTGCATTCAATAAACCACTTAGTGTTAATGGTTTCATACCCTGATAACGAATTACATCTAAAAAAACAGTAAATGGAGAGAGAGAAAGAGAGAGGACATTCAAAATACCTTCTTTTTCATAATGTCGTCCAACTGTTGCTGCATCAATATCTTCCAACAATAAAACAGTTTGCTCCGGTACTCTACTTAGTAATTGTTGTAAACGATCATCCGTCATTGTACCTTCACTTAAATTCAATGTACTTATACTCATATCAAAATGACCTTAATAAAATATATCAATATAACGATAAATTAATGAAATTGTTAACACTGTTTGTATCTTCGAACACTCTACCTGCCTGCCAATGCCATTATACTTGATGATTTTCCACATCCATGAGGTCCATAAAGTAGATAACCACGTCGATATGGTATGCCTGTCAACGAAAACAAGTTGAGTAAGAGAGCTAGTAAGATCTCTTTTAGAACATACCTCGATCACTGTACCATTGAGGATTTTGAATGAATTGTCTCACATCGTCGACTAATTTCGACATTATATCCTGATCCAATATAACAGAACTTAATGGGCGTTTTCGGCGAGCATGACCAAACATACGCCATTCGTTAACTATAATTAACAACGGTTTTATTTGTGATGCTAACTTAGTTCAGAATAAATAACGAGACACAGCATAGATAAAGAGATAAACTATTTGTTACATACTATTTGGAACATAAACTGGTGTTTTTCCAATATTTTTTTCTAACACGTCTTCTCTTGCTTGTTCCAACATGTCAAAATAAATCTGACGATTTTTTCCAAATGCTGTTAATTGAACACTTTCAAATGGTGTACCTGTTGATAAATTCATCATTTGTTCCCTTGTCCGTTCAACTTTAATCCATTTACGTCCATACCAAAAGTAGTGTGTACCGATCGATGGCATAAAATGATATGTCGCTTGTATTTTATTTGTTTGTTCATTTTTGACCAATTGGGTTCTTACACTCAAATGTCGACTCGATTGAGCTAATTGAACTGATATCCATTGCAACAGCCATGAATAACTTTCATCACTCGACGGAATTTCTAACGTAATCATGTATTGTCGTCGAAATGCAACTAAACCTAATTGAGAACCACGTCGGGCCACAGCTAAAAGTGTACCGATACCAATAAGGCCCGCACCAGCACCAAAATACGGATTATCTTTTAATGTTGATAATAAATCAATCAAAGTCATCTAAAATATTGAGATTAGGAAATGATTCCAGAGCATATTGCGCTGTTAATTTCAATTTTAGCTCGTTTTTTGTTTCGAGATCTAATGTAAAATGATGTGTAATTCTCCATATCAATATTATTTGCTGATATTTATGTTCCACAGCACCAGATTCGAAAGTATCTGATTGTATTCTCAATACCACCGTAACTTAACCCAATATGTTTTTGAATATCGCAATAAGACATTCTGTAACGAAATGCTTGAAAAAGCCTCATGATGGATACGAAGTGTGGGACAATGTCGTTCAACCGGTGGTTAACCCATTCATTAAGGAATTTCTTAATTTTAGTAGCAGATTCTGCACCTCTATAGACTACAGCTGTTTTTGGAGTCCACACTTAAATTTTACCGTTGGTACTTCTACAGATTGATCACACACTCACACTCCACGCACACCGCAGTAGGGGGTGTGATCGATCTGTAGAAGAACCTTAGCGTTTTTTTGGTAGCCTGTGGGTTTCAAAAAAAAGAATAAGAGCTAAGTAAGGCATTGTTCCGTTTCTGTCTATGTGGAGTGTTCTCCAGGTGAAAGAATTTTTTCATAAAGATTATGTAATATCAACAAAATAAGGTTATTTTCGTTCAGATTAATAAAAGGTCTGCTAAAAAATAATGTGTTAAATTTCAAAGTATTGACGGTATGTTTTTCTTGTTTTATTTCGCAAAATGTGTATTTATTTTTCAGAGCGTCTAGTAAATTTTTACAAGAGTTCACTTTGTCATGTGAAACACTGATCGACAGAGTGTACCCTAGTTCTGAGCATTGGCCTAACTTTTGTCCTCATACTATCCTGACTTAAATAACCTTCTGAACCAATCGAAAAAAATATAACCATGGTTCACTTCGCCAGCAAACGAGTATAGGCACAGAAAACTGACCAATAAGTTTATAACTAATGACCTCTACAGTGGTTTGTGCAATATGGTTAAGAGACCTATATGGTTAAAGTTTTGCTTGATGCTTAAATACTCGATGCTTTCTACTGAACTTTATTTCTCTTATATGACTTAACACTGAAACTCCTAAATGAGGTTTTTGAATCCTTGATAGATAGAGGGAAAACACATGAGCAGAAGAATACAGAAAGAGAGAATATAAGCAAAGAGGAGCTTTTTCTGCTCGTCGGTCTGTCTTCTTTTGAAGACAAGAAATAACTACGTAACATATCGCACAACATGTGATATTACTTTTTCTCACTGTACAGTTTTTAAAAAATAAATCTTCTGAATAGCACGCACCATCTCGTCAAACTTGAAATAGCTTTATCTTTATATAACAATTTATTGTTTTCAAAGTAAGTTCATCTAAGTTTATAAAGTATTGACGAACGTAGTTATACTTCATGAAGTCAGGGAATTCTTTCTTATCATGAAAGATTAGGTTTCCGTTTAGTATTGTGCTTCACAAGACTGTTGACTTAATACGTTGTAGGAAAGAATGTAGTTTAGGGTGCTGAAATATTTTAGGCGAATCTTATGATGACCGGGCTATTTAGGGGGATGGCGGTGCTCGTGTGGCGGTGCTCGTGGCTGCCAGCACCAACGTTTTTGATTTCCACTACTTCTTCCTAGTTCAAAAAATAGATAAACGCGAGGTACACCATATCTACTCTTTTGTACATATCCGCCACCACCAATAAGTTTTCTAGATCCGCCACTGTGACCTGGACGGTTTTTTCTTCGCAATTTTTACTAGTTTATTCCGAGATAAATGTTCTTTTTTCCCAAAAAGCGGATGGTATGTTAGCATTAATGAATCTGGTGTATACCGAGAAACGACTATATCAAAAATCATAACTAGAATAACTAATTGAATTGTGGTGATTTCAACCTCTGTGAGGTAAATTTCTTTGCGACTATGTAACGTGTCCATCGACACCGTCGATTTAGTGGAGATTCGATATGTAACTTTCTGTACTTCACAACACTATTCTCACTAATGTAACTCAATAAACACCATAACTCATAATTTAAATTCTATGTGGACTTTATCCTCAGCAATACACTGATCATTCAAGAACTTTTAGCTCATTTTCATGTATGATTTATCGTTTTGCAAATAACTTTCGATTCAAAGGAGATCTCTTTGCTTATATCAGAATGTATTGATGACCGTGAGTTATCAATTTCAGATATTGGCTCTTACTGATGAAAGCATTACAGCCATTTTGCGAGCGACGCAATTGCCACTTGAGGTCATCCTCAAGAAACAGTCACAGTTGGCCCAATCAAGATCTATTTTAATAGGAATCTTACAAAAAAAATTTAACGGGACTTGATGCACTGATATCGAATAGTTTTCTGGTCATCGATATAAACGTGTTGTTCTGTCAACGTCTGCCTATATAAACAGCACAGTATATTTGTAAAATACCTCGGGTGTTTTTTTGACTTAAGATGTGTGAGATAACATCCTGGTTCCTTGAAACCCTATTTTTTACCTCAGTCCTAGTGCAAACTTTCGTGGGATTCCTGCGGGACTTTTGATTTTTCAACCTTTACTTGAATAAAATATTGGATTTCCAAATGTTAACGAAAAATTAGCAAAATATTAAAAAATCTCTCGAGATTCCGTAACGAAATTATTCTTAATCAATATACACGTTAAAATAGGCGCAAGAACCAATTTCGACTTGAAATTGACAAGAAATATTGTTTTCTAATAGCATGGCTCATATGGAGTATAAAGGTGGAATGGCAGACGGACTAGGATTTTGGTCAAATGTGAGCAGATGAAAATAAAACATTTCTGATACAGCAGTCTGAAGAATCTGCATTTGTTCTCCTCACCACAACATGAATATTATACTCATGCTCGAATATAATCACGGGTACTCGTAATCGTCGAAATCCACACTACGTTTTGAAGATGACTCACAATGTATAGTCTGTTCTTTATGACTTTTCCAGTAAAAATAATAGAATTCAGTTAAAACTTACCTGTTCAACTTGGAATTTTATCAGCAACGCAGAATTTGGATTTCTGAGCTAGAATAGTTAGAGTATGCAGTACTAATTTGGTGGAATTAGAAATCTTTACAAACAACTAGTACTATGCGAAAATGAAGCAGTATTCAAGAGTCTTCTGATTATCAGACTTGACTTTGTATCATATTCTTTCTCCTTTCTAAGCTCATTTTCATTATTGTTGCGGTTGTAGCTAACTTTGATGCCTTTGTTCTTAAAACTAACTTTTTTCTTCTTGACAGATGTCAACACCTGATATGAACGGATCAAATGATGTGAACTCGGATACCGAATCATCAGGAACAACTTCACTGTCTGTCGGTGGATCGGGTCGTTTACAGTAAGTTTATGTGACTGATTTTTGATTGCGAATATATTTGTGATGTTTATTTTCCGCAGTTCGATGGATAACAAAGATTGGAAATCGACGCTTCAAATTCCGAAAAAAGATACAAGAATAAAAACAACGGTAAGAGAGTAGCCAGTATTGAAGAGGATGGGATGAATGGAGTTAAGAATCATTGCATTTTTTATATAGCCCTTTGTTGCATACCCCCCTCGCCCCCCATTATAGAAGACCACTTCCGAGTATATGACTTGAAAGCCAAATTAGGTTGACTTTTTAAATAATGATTTCTAATCGAAAGCAACGGTTTTCGAAAAGGTAAATGTGCTTTAAGACCTCGATAGTCCAAGATCAGTAGATTTTCTAACGTGACAAGAGCTTCCAGATTCTGAGAGGTATCGGACAAGTAAATCAATCTTTTATTCAAGCTCCATTTCGTTTCGGAGCCACTTTTGAGCTCTATTATATGTCATGCAAGATACCTGATTTGATTGAAGTCACCGTAATCATACTCTCATAATATATATCCCGTTAATATTTGACGAGAAGAGGTCTCCACGTGATAGTCTCCGTTTATATATACCATTTTGTAGAGCTCGACGAACTGATCACGATGCCATATACCGCTCATCCCCATACGCTGTAAGTGAAGAGTTAAATCGGTCTCAACTTTCAAAGAATCACTCTGCGACGCTGTCTGGTGACTTAGATTTTAACGATATTGTAGTTTCAAGCGTTCCGATTCGCACCATGGAATGCGC